AGATAAGATGTCATATAGTGAGAGCGAAATGGACGACGTTCACTCAAGTGTGACGTAGACGCGAGCGAAATGTCATCTTCTGTGGTGAAGTGCAAAAACGAAACAAGATTCATTGTCTCGAGATTCTTAAATGACACAGGCAACTGAAAAATTAATCGGTGGAATGTGTTCGGCAAAGGAAACCGTCGATGGGTGGAACGACTGAGTGGGCAACGTTTCGCAGACCATTCAGAACTTTGAGATCTTAGCAGGTCAGGGCTGACCATGTACGTTCTTCCTACGTACAAGGACAGGACAACAGCCTCGCGCTGTGCAGCCGGTCGAGTTCGGCTCGAGCTCCGACGCGCTTGTCCTGGCCTTCATTGCAGTCATGTGGAGAGCTAGTAGACCGGCGATTTGACAAAGAGTCGTGGAGTCGAGAGGAATATCAAAGAGGTGGTGGCGACGATGAGAACTGTGAAGAGGAAGAGCGACAGCCGGTCGATGACCATCGCCATGAACTTCCAATCAGCTTGTAAGTCAGAGTCGCGATCCTCCTCGTCGAGCCGATCCTGAACGCAGAAAAATCAGGTCACCGTCAGTTAAAGCTCATTATAAAGTTACCTTGAAGGCATTCAGCAGAGCAATAATTTCGCGTATGCCCATTTCGATCGAGTCGTCCACCGCAAAAGTTTCCGAGCGTCGAATAAGGTGAGGACGCAGTGCTGGAAAAACACTTCATAAGTACCAGTTAGAAAACGGTCGAATTGCTGAAAATTTGCGAATGCGAATTCCATCGAAATGTAAGACAAAGTGCAAAATGGAGAAATGGTCCTTCACGCCAAATATAGCATAGTTTACACTGGAGATGTGGGTGCGGCGGCCAGCAGAACTGGGCGCTTGCTCATCCCCCTTGACGACCTGCACCCAGTGTTAACCGTCCGTTGTTGTAAGTTTAACCGGCTGGGGGGGGGGAGGTCGTACCTGGGTTTATTTAGAGGATTATGTATTGCACTTGGCATGTTAATTGCCGTTTCGAGGGGTATGTGGGATTTTAGCGGCGTGGTGAAGGTGGATATTGGAGGGGCGTATTGCAGTGAAGCGAGAGTCGTAAAAATCTCTTAATTCGGATAAACAAACGGTTGACCCTGCTCGCAGGTGACAGCCGTGGTATGGACCAGAAGACCCATCACTTTTTGTGAGCTGCTTCGCAAGGTGTATCGCACACGGAAATTGCTACCGTATCCAGCCAGTAAAACTAAATTCTGTCCATCCATGTTCGAAAGGTGAAAACTGTCAGATAGATAATGGTTCCCCAATATATTCCACGTATGCCGTCATGACAAAAATGGCAGCGGTTGCAGCGGTCAAGCATAGGCATGAGCTATGCTGTCCCGCACTCTCAAGCCACGACAGTACCACCGCCCTCATGATTAGGGTTCTCGCTACCGTCATGGCGACGTGAATTCTAATCATGGCCCATGCCTTCAAGTCGTAGTGATATACATAGTCTACGAAATATACGTGAGGTACTCCCGAATTTCTAATTACGCACGTCAAGAAATAATCTGTTCAAAGTACACTTCGGACTAGCTGATTGATTTGCGGTGAAAGTGCTACAGTAGGCCGAGATAACTGGCCAAAAACTATCGCTAGCGATGAACTAGTTTCCGTGCACCTCCGCAATCCAGTTCTCATAAACCACACCGGAACGCGACTACCGCTAACGCCACCTATAACCACTATAAAAAGGAGAAGGAACGCTATGAAATAAAAAGTAGACAGCTCGACGCTGACATCAACCTTTTTTCGTCCGATGTACCACGCTTCAACTTCCTTGTTGGACCGCGTGTGTAAGCTTAAAGCCACGAGTCAGGATTAGGTGACCATAGAAGGCCTTTCCATCACTAATATTTCCAGGAATGCGCTCAGAGGGGTGATGCCACACTCCTGACTCGAGATTGCGCGCCGTCAAGGCCTCTGGCCTACTACTTACAGCGATGGGTTCGTTTCATCAGCTGGTCCCGCCCACCGCGGGATGTGGTGCGTGGCTGGCCTAACGTGTGAGATCAGCTAGGTTGATTGCCGTATCAACCGATGGAACGGCTGGCATATCCGGAAAACTCGTTTGGACGGCTCTCCCCCGAGCAAGCCTCCTTCACTGCTAGAAGGAAGGGTTTCGATTTCGGTCTTGTCGACGGTTTCTTTGCGTTTTTTCTTCACTGTCGTTCCACCTCCCATCTCTACACTCAATTTCAGGCGCCATAATGCCCAAACACGAGCCTGACTTTTGCCTTTTAAAGGCATTCCACGGAAGAAATAGTGTGTAAGAACGTTCAAGTAATGAAGCTGGAGGTGCAGAGTTTCGTGAAAAAGAAAAAAAACAGCAAACAATTCACAATCATGCCCCAATCAAGGAAACCCCCTCTCTCATCAGCAATCCACCTTGGGATAAAAGAGAGATGCCACAACGTTTCCATGCTATTCACCTTCCAATGTTATTATACAGCAAATCCTACGAGTGAAAGAGAGACACGCTTTGAAAACACATAAGTTTGCTCAAATAATCGTTAATCAAGTTGGTAGGCAGGTCTGAGCTCAGTGTCGCAACAACACGTACAACATGTAAACTTTTTTCTCCAGTTGACTAACCCTTACCTGGTCAGACGGAGCGATGCCGAGAAGGGAATGGAATGAGAGCTCATTGTGCTAAGGCGAACGATCCCAAATTTATGACTGGATTTACGTTCCCTTCTCAGTTTAGTCACCCAAGAGCGGAGACAACACGCACTCTTGCTAGAAGTAAGCTTTTTTTTTGCTAAGCTCCTTCCTTCATCATAGGCTTGAAGGCAAGATTCAAAACCAAACTGATGAGGTAATTTCAATCAAATACTGAAAGTAGGAGTGGGAAGTGTACCGCCAGTGGAGAAAAAAAAGGAAAAAATGGCGAAATACGCAGGAAACACGAGCGAGAAGTTCAAAAGCTGGCAGAGAAGTGAGAGATACGGTGAGAGCGGAGAAGCGGTATAGAAGTCCGAGTAGAGAGAACATTGCAGATCAACATTGCGACGCGGACAAGATATCGGGCGGTGGGCGGAGCATGGTACTGGTAGAGTCTGCCAAAGTCCTTAGCGCCTAGCGTTCAAGTAACGCTTTTTCCACCGTAGGAAGTCATCGCAAATCTGCACTCCGGTACCCTACGTTCTAGCCACACAAAGGCTCATTAAGTGAGTCTGAGCACAAACTTAGTCTTCAAGCATAAGCCAATGTGTAAACGTAGCCTAAAGAAGCCTAAACCCAAACTTTTCCCTAGAATTCAATGATCGTTCAGCTCTGATGGATTGACTACATGAGGAGAACTGCACGTCTTCCTAACTTGCAATTGCTCTATGCGGAAATAGCAACAGTAGTAGTATACTGCTTTGACTTCGCCCTCAGACCAGACCTCAGAAATTAAAGTTTTTCGTCCATCAATTGGGGAGCATGCCATCGATGAAAGTTGCCCACAGTTACACAGGTCAGTGTTTTTACCAGTTGTAAGTATCGTAGTTCTATGGCCTACAAGACCTAATGAATCATAACCAAAAAAAACTTCAAAAATAGCCCTTTAGAATAGAAGAAACGATACTGCCTCCCACCAAGAATGCCGGCAGGGGAACTCCCCCAGCCTTTGCAAGAGTTTCCAGGAACTAAGAAGGTCGTCCGTTCTGATGAGCAAAGTAATGGCAAAGAGATTCTTTCGTACTTTTGCATAAGTTAAGCATTGACTAAGTTGTTTGAAACTGCCAGCATTGTTTTCAGCGTGAACAATTCAGTTACACCCCCTTTTTGTATTGTTTGGAGATTTTTTCAATGTCGCAACTATCTAAGTTGATTTTACCAGTGTAGATCACGCTAAGTACATACATCTGTTGGCACTCAGAACTAACTAACCTTTGACCTTTTCCATGCCAGGAATTCCTCCATTCAGAAATCGACTATTTTGTTCGTCGTCTATCATCACAACATGCTTGCCAGCAGTTTTTCGGAATGGCTGAAACACTCCAAATTTGGGGTAGAATTGATAAGTCGAGAACGCAAAAAATCATGTCGGTGAGGACAGTGTTGCATAATCGAATCGGGCGCCACTCTTCAGCGAAATTGTCTCCAAAACGTTTAATTGAAGGGAAGACTTATGGTCGACGTGGCGGTAAGTCGGTGATTCAAGAGGTACCTACTACTCAAGTAAGCCCACCTAAACGATCTAGTAAACATCTTCGTTCAGAAATACGCAGTCAAGATTCGGCCGAAGCAGCAATTCGAGTTGGGGTGAGATTAGGGACATTTCTAAGTTCTCAGCCACAGTTCAAATCAGTTCTATCGGTTGGAAATAGGGTTCAGTAGCATGAGGAAGTAGGTCGCTTCAATTACTGCGTAACTTCATGCGTGCGACACGAGTTGAAATCAAACCCTACATCGTTGGTTGTTCGAAGTGAACTGCTCAAATTGCCCTTTTCCAGTGCGATAGGGTGATCCTCTTATTGGCTTTACTGACTAATAGCTTTCACAATAGTTAGCATACACTAAGGTTCCAATAGTTGGACGGGAGCGGTTGCCGGCCGGATCCCTCGGGCCGACGAACGAACACCAAGTTTTTACGAAGACTCCGCACGGAAGGAATGAATTGTTGCGCGGCACCCGAAGAGGTAAATCCACTAGTTGACCCTGGCGCGCTACTGGAATGAATGGAGGACTGGTGGAGACCGCCATGTGAGCAATGGGATCACAAGTTATTAGAGGTGAACCTTCACAACGATCAGCCTCCACCAAACTTCAAGTTAATGCCTAAACAATGAGCATGGACGGAGCGAAGTTCAATTCTACACACCTCATCTCCATTTTCGGAAGGACTCTTTTGCCGCCGCCGCGTGAATTTTTTTCCAGGACGTGACATCAGAAGAAACCACGGTAACCATTCCAGGAAGATTAATTGTATCTAAAAGGATAGACATGTGTAGTTGGAAATAAGAACAAAAAAGATTTAAAAAAAGTTGAATTGCTACAGAATGTATTGTAAATTTTTCAGTACATTTTGGTCAAGTGTCCTTTTTGAAGACAGAGAGATTCTCGTCACAAAGTGGCTTCGATGCAGATGGCTTTTCCTTTAGCAATGTGACAGACTTGTGTCAAACATTTCTCTGTCTTCAAAATCCATTAGTGTTCCTCGCTATCATTTTGAGAGCAATTGACAGTGACTTAAAGGCGCTATCTTCTGAATATCATTAAAGCCACAAATAGCACCGTGTTTATTCTTTTCTTATTTTCAAACCCACCCAATCTCCCTCCCCCTTAGCGGGTTCAGTTTGAGAGAGTGATCGTTCGAAGTACCCTTGACTCCGAGTCCACGGGTGGTGAGAAGGTCGTAAACCTCAACCTAACCTAAAACGTGTAGAGCGCCTCCCAAAAAACGATGTCACGCTGATTTCACTGTGACATGAGGTCGAAAGAAAAAAACATTTTGGATAGGAACTGACTTGGTGCACTGCATACATCGCAAGCGAAGGATATGCCCCGGGATCCAACATGGTCCTTACTGTAGCGTGTATTGGCGCGTCTTGTACCCCAATGATGGCTAATCATTCCCGAGATATCTAGCCGTGTTAGGCCGATGTCATAGTTTGCGAATCGAGCGTTGCGCCAGCGAATCAAACTCTGCACTAGCGAATCGAACTATGTACCAGCGAGTCAAACGATCGTAATAAGAGAGGAAGCCCGCCACTTTCAAACAGTGTCCACTGTCAAGTCCCGCCACTTTCAAAAAGGGTCCACTGTCACGTGACACTGTTTGAAAGTGGCGGGCTTCCTTTGAACGTTGGGTCCCGCCACTATTGAGTCGCTGGTACATCGTTCGACTCGCTGGTGCAACGTTTGATTCGCTGGCGCAACGCTCGGATCTAGCGATTCGCTAGCGAATCGCGCGATTCGCAAACTATGACGTCGGCCTGACAGAGAAAGCGTTAGCGCTGAAGAAGGCAGTATCGATGAGAGTGGCTTTGGCGCGGAAACCAACAGGCAAGGAAGGGGTCCCATTTCTCGGGATCTGGGCGCATTTTCATAAGTTTTCGTCATCCAGGCATCACTGAAAGACCCTCCAACTTTCGCTCAATGGATCGCCTTCAAGTCGCAGATACCCACTTTAGCGACGAAATAGGGATGCAGGTTGCGTATTAACCTCCCATGAAGTAATGCTTTAGGATTCTTGGCTGGTGGTTTACGGCCTTCTACCCATCCACATCGTCATCTTTTTCTCAGATGGGTCTGGCGAACTGTTGACTATTATATTAGCACACATTCACGCGAGCAGATCGTGAGATCGCTGTAGCGAGCACTCGCCTCATCCCGAAGTAAGCAATTCTTTTCAGCGACAACCATTTCCGTGATGCAGAGCTAGTGAACTGGTGTATGATCTGAATTATCAGGGGTTCAAATCAGAGCACGGTGGAGGATTTGCAAAACAGCGTAGGAAAGCTCGTCGTTTACTTCAAGTACCTGTTGTACTCTTATCATCGTCAGTTTTCATGCTGATCAACGCCTCAGAAGGTTTCAGTCAAGGATACGTTCCTATCATCCCTAATTTGAGAAGCATATTATTTTCGTAGGAGCTTGTGGGAGATGACTTCAGCTTTGTTAATCATGCAGCACAGATGCATGCAACACGGAGAAACTCACCCATTTCCCCATTTGATGAGTCTTGGAGATCGGAAGTGAACATTGATAATGACTAACGTCGCTATGATAGAGCAGCCCAATAAGAGCATTGAGAGTGAGAAGAATACCGCTGAAAACAAAAAAGCACTTTTCAACGATCATTATCCACTAGCTATGGCCACACATTGTTAATTACCGATTATAGGGATCGATTCCGAAGTGGGTGGAGTGATCTCGGAGACCATTCCGAGGAACACGGTCACGGAGAGAAGATTCGTGATTTCTGCAATCTTCTCATTATTGATCAGCTGGGAGAGAGAGTATTGAATAATTATTAGGAATGGATATTAGATAAATGAAACGATGACCGAAATTCAACTTTCAATCTATTAATTTCTTTATAAAAAATTCCTTTGGAAAGACGGCAATTATGTCCTAATCATTGGGAGAGGATTGAATAATACAATAGAAGGATAAAGGAATAAATCAAAGGGTGGGGGAAAAACTAAAATGATGATTAAAATGGAGGTAATTATGACCTAACTTTTGAAAGCAGGCTGCACATTTAAAGGATAAAGGATAAAGCATTTGCCGTTGATCAATCCCTTTGGGATGCGGCACGCATTCTACTTCCATTTGTACATTCGCAGTGGCGTTTGAATGCGATGTGGCCTATACAATGACTTGCGGGGGCCAGCCGATGTTCAAGTCAGTGTTTTTATCCTCCCAGACAAGTCTGGTACCAATTAACCGACCCCGGAGGGATGGAAGGCTTGGTTGGCCCGGGCGACTCACGACCCAGGATTTGATCCCCGGACCGCTCGCGTGGTGAGCGCGCCACTTGTCACTACACCACTTCCGCCCCTGCATATTAGTTTGTAGAATTTTCCTTTTTTTTCGATGACTATCACAAAATCCACTAAAATCTGGATAGGGTGGACAAGGAAGTAGGTGAGAAAGTGACAAGCGGGAACGCTACGCACGCATGAATCATGGATTACTCCTAGACAGAATTCCAACCAGGCCAAGCAATTGGTCTATTCCTTGATCACTCGGAAACAGACTTATCTGGGAGGATAAATTGAAAGTACAGCCATGTTCAGCATATCGGCGGGCAAGCAAAAGCCATTGCAATTCATTTCAATTACTCATATAAGATCCGCTATGATTTCGATGTCGAAAAAAGGAGTCATGTGACAAAAATGTTCCACTTAATCCCTTAGCGACAAAGAAATTGTCGCTCTAAGCCATCAGTTTTTCGCGATTCTCGTGTTTAAAACCGACTGCACAAAATTCCAGCGATCTACTTTCTATTCCAGGTGGAGATTATCTTTAGCCCGTATTTTCAAAATTTTCCTTTCACGGATTCTTTAACTTCACCGCACCGCTGCTAGGTTATGAGCAAAATACATAGTAAAAAAGAAGTCTTGGTAGCAATACGACTTACGTAAGGTAATCTTTTCACCACACTCTGGTGGCATGGTGAAGCCGAGAACGTTACTGATTGAGATCAGAATCGATGGTATGATCCAATTCAGGCCATAGTACAGAGTTTTCCTCTTCAGATGCACTCTGAAGAACAGCTCCACATATCGCTCTCCGTTGAATTCAGATGCGATCCGATCGGCCGGTGTGGCTGGAATGATCAGAAGTGTTTTTGCTTACTGTGGAAGAAATGCGAACACGACAGGAGAACCGGAGACGCAGACGCATTGGCGGACGTGTCGCAGCGCTTACTGTACGTACGGGGAAGGGTGAAATACTATAATACGTTCTATTTAACTTGACGCTGAAGTCGCTACAATTCGCGCTGCGACTCGTCCACTGACTGTTTTACGTCTCTGCTTTCCGGTCGCGTGACGGGCCCCCTGTCGGGTACCCGCATAAAATAAGCGTTTTTTTTTTGACTTCAAAGCAGGTGATAGTCTCTAAGAACGCTGCTTGTCCCCTGTATATCTACTGTGAAAAGAGGCAGGCCCTATGAGGGAGCGGGAAAAGTAGCGTTTTGCTGGTAAACATAAGTGTGAGCCTCCAGCGACCTAACAGGACATTACCCGCTGCGGCAAATTCCCTTCACGTCTGTCCACGCCCATCGTTTGATTACCACTACTGCTGATCACTCGCCGTCGGACTCTATCCGTTTCAGCAGAGAGGCAGAGCAGGGTGTCTTCGTTGGTGACGTCAGCACCGATGAGGCAGGCCCACCGCGGAAGCTAAGAAGAAC